AGCTGCCCCAGGACCTGCGGTGCCGGCAGTGGCCAAAGTTTCACAAGCTCCCCTAGGGCCTGCGGCGCCGGTGGTGGCAAAAGTCTCGCAAGCTGCCCCAGGACCCGCAGTGCCGGCGGTGGCAAAAGTCTCGCAAGCTGCCCCAGGACCCGCAGTGCCGGCGGTGGCAAAAGTCTCGCAAGCTGCCCCAGGACCTGTGGCGCCAGCAGCAGCAATAGTTTCACAAACTGTCCCGAAGCTTGGCTCTGCAGTGCCAGCAGTGGCAAATCTCTTGGGAGCTACCCCCAGGCCTGGACCTGTGGCGCCAGCAGTGGCAAGATTCTCAGGAGCTGTGCCAAGGCTTGGACCTATGGCACCAGCTATGCCCAGATTCTCGGTAGCTGCCTCAAGGCCAGGCCCCATGTCGCCAGCAATGCCCAGATTCTCGGTAGCTCCCTCAAGGCCAGGCCCCATGATGACAGCAATGCCCAGATTCTCGGTAGCTGCCTCAAGGCCTGGCCCCATGTCGCCAGCAATGCCTAGATTCTCGGTAGCTGCTTCAAGGCCTGGGCCCATGGCACCAACAATGGCAAGATTCTCGGTAGCTGCCTCAAGGCCTGGATCTACATCGCCAGCAATGGCAAGATTCTCGGGAGCTGCCTCAAGACCTATGCCTGTGCCACTGGTAGTGGCAAAAGTCTCAGGAGCTGCCTCAAGGCCTGGGCCTGCAGTGCCAGCAGTGGCAAAAGTCTCAGGAGCTGCCCCAAGGCCTGGGCCTGTGGCACCAGCAGCGGTAAAAGTCTCAGAAGTTGCCCCAAGGCTTGGGACTGCAGCGCCAGCACTACCAAAAGTCTCAGTAGCTTCCCTGAGACCTGGGCCCATATTGCCAGCAGTGGCAAAAGTCTCAGAAGCTGCCCTTGGGCCTGCAGCACCAACAATGGGAAAAGTATTGGAAACTGCCCCAAGGTCTACAGCACTGACAATTGCAAAAGTCCCAGAAGCTATCCCAGGACCTGTGGTGCCAGCTGTGGAAAAAGTCTCTGACACTGCCTCACAGCCCGCAGTGCCAGCTGTGGCAAAAGTCTCAGAAGCTGTCCCAAAGCCAGGACGTGTGGGGCCAGCCATGGCAGAAGTCTCAGCAGCTGCCCCAAAACCAGGACCTGTGGGGCCAGCTGTGGCAAAAGTCTCAGAAGCTGCCCCAAAACCAGGGCCTGTGGCACCAGCTGTGGCAAAAGTCTCAGAAGCTGCCCCAAAACCAGGGCCTGTGGCACCAGCTGTGGCAAAAGTCTCAGAAGCTGCCCCAAAACCAGGGCCTGTGGCACCAGCTGTGCCAAAAGTCTCAGAAGCTGCTCCAAAGCCAGGACCTGTGGGGCCAGCTGTGCCAAAAGTCTCAGAAGCTGCCCCAAAGCCAGGGCCTGTGGCACCAGCTGTGGCAAAAGTCTCAGAAGGTGCCCCAAAGCCAGGACCTGTGGTGCCAGCCATGGCAGAAATCTCAGGAGCTGTCCCAAGTCTTGGACCTGCGGCGCCGACAGTGGCAAAAGTCTCGCAAGCTGCCCCAAGTCTTGGAGCTGCGGCGCCGGCAGTGGCAAAAGTCTCGCAAGCTGCCCCAAGTCTTGGAGCTGCGGCGCCGGCAGTGGGAAAAGTCTCGCAAGCTGCCCCAAGTCTTGGAGCTGCGGCGCCGGCAGTGGGAAAAGTCTCGCAAGCTGCCCCAAGTCTTGGAGCTGCGGCGCCGGCAGTGGGAAAAGTCTCGCAAGCTGCCCCAAGTCTTGGAGCTGCGGCGCCGGCAGTGGGAAAAGTCTCGCAAGCTGCCCCAAGTCTTGGAGCTGCGGCGCCGGCAGTGGGAAAAGTCTCGCAAGCTGCCCCAAGTCTTGGAGCTGCGGCGCCGACAGTGGGAAAAGTCTCGCAAGCTGCCCCAAGTCTTGGACCTGTGGTGCCGGCAGTGGCAAAAGTCTCGCAAGCTGCCCCAAGGCCAGCAGCTGTGGCACCGGCAGTGGCAACAGTCTTGCAAGCTGCGCCAAGTCTTGGACCTGTGGCTCCGCCAGTGGCAAAAATCTTGCAAGCTGCCCCAGTGCCAGGGCCTGTGGTGCCAGCGGTGGCAAAAGTCTCGCAAGCTGCCCCAAGTCTTGGACCTGTGGCTCCAGCAGTGGCAAAAGTCTCGCAAGCTGTCCCAAGTCTTGGACCTGCGGCACCGGTAGTGGCAAAAGTCTCGCAAGCTGCCCCAAGTCTTGGACCTGT